GTCACAGACACTTGCTAATGCAGGAAGTGATTGTCGACTTTGAAAATACGAAGAACTAATAATGTCAATTAAAGAAACATTGGAAATATTACCTTTACTAATGTAATTATCATCTTCATCACTTTGAGCTGTAGATTGACTTTCAAAATCACCAACCGTAGACACAGACAAGGCATTGCGATGCTTATTTCTACGCCGCTGCTCAATACTTTTTCTTTTGAACTTCATGGCCAGTTTAATTGATGGAAGTTTATCAACATTGCCAATGCACATCAATTTGAGAGTTCTCTGATCTTGGATAAAATCTTGCTCTGCAGGAGGAACCTTGCGAGTTTTTGTTACATACACACTTCTCAAACACACACTTACAGGTGCAGATGTCAAACAATTTGTGTCTAGCATCTTCTTTAAAAGCGTCCACTTTGCTATCATAATTACTGCTCTTGATGTTTCACAATAGTTTTCTGTAATTATCATGATAGGAGCGAATCATCTTTAATACCCGTGTATGAGTAATCATCGGTATGACGCTTTTAACCATATTTTTTCAACAACATTTTCAGAGATTTCTGTTATAGTAGGTTCTTTCGTAGTAGCTCTAGGTTTCAGTTGATGTTTTACAAGCAAGTAATGTTTCATTACATTTTCATATGTTGGTAAAACAACTTGCGACATCTCTTTAGGTATACCAAAGACAGGACAAGTCAGCATCATCCTCGTTCTCACTAACCTAATGGCCATATTAAAACTTGTACTATAATAAGCAAACTTTGTATTAGATTCATAAGTAATTATTGATTTATACATTAATCTAGCAAGCCATAAATAAAATTAAAAGCTAAACTAAAATATCAAACATTAGTAACAATTTCTTGATATGCAAAGAAATATATTGAGAAGTATTAAAAGGAACCGCTTAGATAATTATTTCTAAATAATAACTGAAAAAAGGTTAATAAAACACATTTTACGTCAATATAACATAAAGTTAACAAGTATGAGACAAAACGAAATGTATTGTTTATATGTATTTTTTTTATTTGTTTGAAATGACTTTGTTATGCAATGCAATGAAAATTAATTTTCTAATTTAATCGATCAAGTCTTTTCTTCCATTTCATTGCGCAAATTAAATGCTCCCTCAAACTGTTGTTCTCCATTATAGCGAAATGTATACAAACTTAATGATATAAAAACGACAGACTTGCTCAAATAACTAAAAATTTCATTAAAGATGGCAACTTAGCAACCCCCTCCCCCAAACTAGCCCCCTTAATACAGCACTGGGTGAAACAATACTATTAGTAATTAGGCTAAGGGTATTAATAAAGAAAAAAAAATACAGTTTTTTATTTTTAAAAGTTATGGTTAAAACAGGCTGTTTTCATAAAAAATACCTATTTTTCAGTAAGTTTGACCCCCTTGAGGCAGCTGAAGACATTAAAATTTTGAGAAAACTTTATTCACCTTATTTGAACAATAAAGTAATCAGGTTTTTTAAATTTTTTATAATCATCAAAACGTTTTTTTTTTTTTCACTTTCTCTTTTAAAGTGACAAGACGTGTTTTTGCGTACGATTTTATTACAAGTTAAAAAGGTTTAATAAAGTTAAAACAAATAATAATGGTAAATGTTCGGTCAACTGAGTTCAGTACTTATAAAGTCGAGCAAGAAAAAATAATTAGAACGTTAAACAAGACAACCGATGAGCTAAAAAATTGCAATTCACTTTTGTTAGAAAGAATTAAAGCCTTAGAAAATGTTAAGTCTCCAAGTGCACCAACCTCAATATTGGACAAATGTTGTTAGTGGCAACCATTAAAAAAGTCAGTTGAGCAATTGCATATTATGAATGCTGTTGTTGCCGAAACGAAAGAAATAATTTTTGGCATAATTGCATCAAAAGATTTTTTCGACCAAATTTCTGAAACCAAAAAAACTTTTTTGGTTTCAGAAATTTGGTCCCAGAAACCCCAAAATATCATCATTTCGTTGCGGTGATTATCTCAACTATTGAAGCTATTAACTTGAAATTTTCTAAATTTACTTTAAATACAATAAAGAAAATCCTATACCAAAATCAAAAAAATATACTAAACAGATTTTTTTTTTTTTTTTTTTTCATAAGAAAAACACTTTAAAATCAAAAAATAAGGCGTTTTTGACCATATTTGGACTTAAGAAACTTTGAATCGGATTATTATATTGTCATAAAAGTGGTAAAGGACATCCAAAACAACAAATGGAACAACTCCTGAAAATTTTATGGAATCGATCAAGGAAACAATGTCAGCTTTTTTTTACAAAAAAATTCAAATAAAAACTTTCTTCCTTCTTTTCACCGCAAGAAGCCTTGCCAATAAAACCTCATGAATTTTATTTATTGTTGTCGAGGCAACAAAACCTGCTGTAATCTGCGTGTGTGAGACATTTTTAATAATAAACTTTCTAACGCTATTTTATACTCAAAAAATTACTCAATTTATTGCAAAGACCGCATTAAAATTAGCGGTGTAGTGGCAATTTACTGTAGAAATGACATTGAAGTAGAAAAAGTAAAGATTAAGCAAATATAGGGGAGAGTGTGTATGAAAGAGCCAGTTTTAGGGGGGTATGAAAAAAGTCAATTGTAATTAATTAAAAAATAAAATTCTTTAATTAAAAACAGTTACGTTATTGGGTAATATTATAATTTTAAAATAAATTGGATAACAATGATAATAATCTGTCAAAGACCTATTTTTTAAAAAAGAGAGAAATCAGCTCTTTCATAACATCTTGTCAATGAAAGAGCCACTCTGTGCTATGAATGAGCCGTAACGTTTTTTCTAAAATTAACAAGTCTTTTAAGAGTAATAATCTATTAACTAGACTTCTAAAAATCAGATTGTACTTTAAGTTATATAATTCTATAATAATCAATGATAAAACAAATGATAAAATAGCTTTAATATTAGTTTCACTACGTTATTAAAAAAATACGTCGCTTTTCGTAGTAAATACTCGTAAAGACATGTTGTTTTTTTTAAAGATAAAAAATATTAAATGAGAATAAAAAAAAACAAAAGTATTAATATAAACTAGTCAAACGTTTATAAAAAAAAATTTATATACACTAATCAAAAGAACAAATTGTTTTGACTACATCTTGACGATAAATGTTATCTATGAATCATAGTGATCATAAGACATTTCACATATATTAACGATGCTTGTGATATATGAGTAAATATAATAATACAAAATAAGTTTTGACAGAATATTAGGAAGTTTGAAACATAAATAAATTTTATTTAAAAAAAAAAATTATTTCAATTTTATTAAAAAACTTTATTAATATTTGAATATATTTTTTAAAATTCAAATGCACCAACGTTTTACGGCTTCAGGAAGAGTCATTCAAACAATTAATTTCAATAGAATATGATCAATGAAGCATTACAAAAAATAATGAAGTCGTTAAAGCGCAAAACAGTTATTTAGTTTTAAAAAAACCTAATTAAAAAAGGCCGGCTTTTTCATAGCATAAAAAAGTGGCTCTTTCAAAAAATTCTATGGTAAAAAAAATAACCTGAAGTTTAACATTTTTTACCGAAACTTTAACCTAATATTATTTGTGGAAAAGAAGGACACACACACATATATATATATATATATATATATATATATATATATATATATATATATATAACAATGCAGCATATATGTTTTATCAAATAATAAAACATTCTTTAACTTAAAAATAAATAATAAGCCCCAAAAAAATTACTTTTTATTTTCAAAATTTTTAGTGTACCCTTACGATGCTATTTATTTTAGTAGAACTCTAAATTTTTTGTGGGTGACAGGTATTCAGCGTTGCCACACAAAAAGTAAAATACAATTATGGTCGGGTGCCAGTAAGTTAGATATAATAGCATCGGCTCTTTCAAAACCTGGCTCTTTCATACACACTCTCCCCTACTGATATTGATATCATCTGTGTTGATTGATGTAACCAAATTTGTTTGTCGGCCAATCGTTTTATTCAACTTTTGGATCTCAGAAACTAATAACTTGCTATCGTCCACCTTTTTATACAATAACAGATGTTGGTTAACTTGAATTTCAATTATTTATATCTTGAATTTCAATTATTTATAATTTATGTTACTCGGTGTCACAGATTATTATTGTTGGTGACAATAATCATCTGCGACACTCTTGGTGAAAGAGTAATCTGAAATGCATTTTAAAAGTAGTGTTATAGCTTTTTAATAATGTTGACACCTTTTTTCTTTAAGCTTTTTATATTTTAAATCTTCTGATGTTTTTGACATGTTTTTGGGATATTGCTGGTCTATCAGGACTTTTTTTTGTTTTTTAGAATCCCATCCAGCATGGGCAAGGCCAAAAAATTTTTTCTTAGTTTTCAACTTGTTTCATAACTAACCTAAGTAAAAGATTTTATACTTTTGTGTTCTGGCACTTAAACATGCTGCTGTTAAATACTCTTAAACTTAGCAACTACATAAGTCTTTGTTGTTGATGAAATATTACCTTTGAGCAAGAAGGTCAAAAAACTTGATTGGCAACTGTTTCTCAGGCTATTAAAAGAATTGACTTTTTGACCATCATCACAATGATTTACTGTAAATCATTGCAGGTAAAATTATGTTCAACAGTGGAATTGAAATAGGCATTTAGGATATATATATATATACATTCATATATGGACAATACCGCAAAATTGGCGGTCTTAACCTTTGACACTCTTTAAGCTATTAAAAAACGAACCGAAAATGGAAATGACTTGAAAAAAAATCCATTGCTTAAAAACTACAAATAAAGTAACACAATCAATGATGTAATCAATAATGTATATATATATATATATATATATATATATATATATATATATATATATATATATATATATATATATATATATATATATATATATATATAGTATTTTTTTTAGTTATTAATAGTCATTATATTAAACATTTAAACCATTTAGGTGATCGTGAAAAATATCTTCCTGAAGCAAGACGAAGCGTAGATAACGCAAGTACATGTGATCAATTCAATTTCATATTTAATGATTTCCACAAAGCTGGCTATCTTACTATGTTTAGTGAAGACAATCCAGAATGGGGTGCTTTTCACTATCGTTTAAATGGCTTTAATACTTTACCAACATCATGGTATATTCGTCCATTTTGGCTTGCTAAGAAACCTTCTCATAAATGTGACGTTGAATATAACAATATAATGCTAAAAACTTTTACTGAAACTTTTGAAGACTTGCCAAAAGTATCTCTTATAATCAATTCAGCCATTGCACACAATGATTTTAATGGTTTACAAGTAATTGATGATGACATACTTGAAATCATAAATTATTTTAAATCTCCAGTCAGGATTAATCATACTATTCTTGTTATATTTGGTGATCACGGTGCACGAATTGGTCCTTTCCGCACAACACTTCAAGGAAAGTTAGAACAAAGAATGCCATTTTTTTCAATTACTTTACCGCCAGATTTTAATGTTAAATATCCTAAGATGTTTATAGCTTTGAAAAAAAATTCGAACGTTTTAACCAATCATTTTGATATTTATGCTTCCCTTCATCATATACTGAGTTACCCAGATCTTCCAAAAAAGAAATTTATTGGTCAGAGTTTATTTACTAAAATTGATCCTGCAGTTAGAACATGCAATAATTCTGGTGTTGAAGACCATTGGTGTCCTTGTTTAAACTATAAAAACGTTCCAATAACAGATAAAATTGTGCTAATGGTAGCTCATGAAACCGTTCGTTATATAAATTCTCTCATTAATAAAAATAAAGATTCTGCAAAGCTTTGTTCTAACTTAACATTAGGAAATATTTTATTAGCAGGCCTAAAAACTCCGAAAAATGATGTCATTCAATATGTAAAAACATCTAAAAACCAAGAATGCGATTCATGTGGAATTGTCTATGATACTGCGGTGAAGTCTAAAAAATTTTACGAAGTTGTTTTCGTCGTGTTACCTAGCAGTGGAACTTTTGAAGCAAATGCTGAAGTTTTACCCGATAAAAAAATTATTGTAGATCCAAATATCAGCAGAATAAACTTATATGGAAATCAACCTCATTGTATTATTAATGAATTTCCTTATCTTCGTCCGTACTGCTATTGTGTGTGAATGTCTAATACATTCTATAGTTTTTGATATACACTTAAATTGAAATTTAAATATATTTAAAAAGTGCTTAGGTTTCTTATTATTATTTTAATTGGTCCCAGGCTATAATTAGGGCTTCAAGTTTTTTAATCGCTTAATAATAAAGGACAGATATTTACTAGAAAAGTATTTTATGTATACTAGCTTTAACTGGAAAAACGTATTAAACACAACGTAGATTTCCCCAATTCCTAATAAAATCGTACTTAAAGTAAAATAACTCCGCTTGCTTTTTGAATTTCAAATTAATTTTTTCAAATAAACTGGAACTAAACTGAATCGAACCATATTAAACAATAAGTATATTTATAATAAAAATATTGTCAAAGTTTTTGTTTATTATTAGGAACACGTGTTCCTTATTCTGTAAGTTTGGGTGGCTTAGGGCCTGCGGGATGACTTTAGCCCTAGCGAAACTTTTGTTTAAAAATGGTTTAAAATTTATACCTCAAGGTATGCCGGTTGATGTTTAGTAGCAAATTGTGGGAAATTTATTATTTATTTAGTCTAACTTAGTTTACTTAACTCGAGTCTTTGTGATATTATTGTAAATTGCACTTTAGAAGAAGCTCCTAAAATCCATATTTTTTTAGGTGTGTAAACCTTTACATCGATAGCAGTACCTGTAGAAGGTTTTTTATTGGAATATACACTGAATTAATTTTAAACCATTAGTGTTTGATTCTATCTTGTTTTGAAAGCTTAAACGTTCATTACTTTTTTGTAATTGAGGTTAAAAAAATTAGGTTGTCTTTGGCCCACTACATAGGGTGACATTGGCCCGGGCTAAAGTCACCCCATGTATTAGAGTAAACCTTTTTTAGTGATCATTTATAGATATTTGGTAGTTACTATGTTGGAATGAAAAATTTTGTTGTAATAATGCAATAGAAAATCAGTATAACAGTTTGTATTAGTAAATCAGTACAAAATTAAAGTAAAATTTGTTTAGTTCTTAGTTTAAATATGCCACAAAATTACCAGCCAAATCGTGGAAGAAGAAAATATGTTACTTATACTTTAGGACAGTTAAACAATGCATGAAAAAATTTAAAGATTGGTTTAATTACTCAAAGACAAGCAGCTTTGAAATACGATATACCAAGATATACCAAAAACAGACATATCCTAAAAAGTATGGTGGTCAGTAAATATTTACATCAAAAGAAGAAGACATGTTTAAGGCATATGCAATAAAATCATCTGAGTTTGGTTTTTCTGTTGATAAATATGATTTAAGATGCATAGTAAAACGGTATTTAGAGAAAAAAGGCATCATTATACCTCAGTTCAAAAATAATTTTCCAGGTGGTGATTGGATTCGATCTTTTTTAAAAAGAAATCCAGAACTCACAGTAAGATTTGCAAGCAACATAAAGGGAAAGAGAGCAGAAATAGGAACGACTGTGATTGATAACTACTTTATTAATCTATCAAATGAAATAAGTAATATATCACCTGATAATATATGGAACTGATATATGATGAAACCAATCTCAGTGATGATCCAGGTAAAAAAAAAATATTAACAAAGCGTGGATGTAAGTATCCTGAACGCATCATTAATTCTACAAAGACCTCATTCTCTGTAATGTTTTGCGGCAATGATAATGGTGAATCGCTACCACCTTATGTTGTTTACAAAGTTGAGTCGTTATGGAATGCATCGATGGAACATGGGCGACCAAAAGCACGTTATAACAGATCAAAAAGTGATTAGTTTGACTCAACATGTTTTGAGGACTGGTTTTTCTCTTTACTTCTTCCAAGACTTAAGAAGGCTCAAGGAAGAAGTGTCAATATAGGTGATAACGTATCTTCACATTTGAGCATTACAGTACTGGATCCATGTCAAAGTAATAACATAGGATTTGTGGCATTACTAGCAAACTCTACACATCTCACGCAGCCATTAGATGTTGCCTACTTTAGACCTATGAAGATTAACTGGCGCAAAATATTATGTGAATGGAAGGAGAAAGGAAAAGGATTTTTGAAATAAGGAATTTATTCAGTTCCAGAACTTTTTCACTAAATTTTTTAAAACATTATTTTTGTCATTTTTGTTTACTTTATACCTAAACTGTTTTGTTTACTTGGTACCTATACTTGTTTAGTTTGTACCTATATTTTATTTACTGTATACAAAAACTTGGTTATTAAATCTTTTTTTGTCACTTTATTTTTGTAAATTTATTTTCTTTGCCTAAATATTGTTGTTTTTACTGTTGTTTTGCTTCCTTTAGTTCCTTTTTACAGGGTTGGGCCAAAGTCACCCTAACACATAGGGCGACTTTGGCCCACCATTTAAACCAACCAAAAGATACTTTAGGTAAATAATTTTCAAATGGGAGACAGATAGTTCTAACTGTCCTTTCTATGCACTTCTAAAAATACTTATTGTTTGAGGAAATAACTTTTGTGGCTTTTATGCAATAGACATTAAGATGCAAAATGGGCCAAATCCACCCAATCTTACGGTATATATATATATATATATATATATATATATATATATATATATATATATATATATATATATATATATATATATATATATATGGCTTCATTGCTTACGTCAACTGAGGGTTTGGGCACCTAATATCTAGATATGATTAACTTTTGACTCAAACAATCAAACAATCAAACTTTTTGACTCAAACAATCAAATCAAACAATCAAACAATCAAACTTTTGACTCAAACATACAAATATATGTATGTATATATATATATATATATATATATATATATATATATATATATATATATATATATATATATATATATATATATATATATATATATATACATACATATATTTTACAAAACTTGAAGCTTATATATATATATATATATATATATATATATATATATATATATATATATATATATATATATATATATATATATATATATATATATATTTATATGTGTGTGTGATAAGTTTTACAAAACTTGAAGCTTGTAAAGTCTATAAGAATACAGTATTTTAAGTTTACAAAGAAAATACAAGATTCATACAAGATCTTTATTAGAACTAAAGTTCACAAGATTATTTTTTTATATTATCATCCTCTGTCAAAGTCAAGTCGTGATGCTGCTTTTACATTACATTTTTTTTTTGTTCCTAAGCAAGTAGTTTTTAACTTCTTTCCTTTTTTTATCTTTTGCGATGATTTTTTTTTGTTGCTTGATTTGTTTTAGGGTTTTCTTTTCTTCTTACAAACGAATTTTATTTCTGATTGGAGTATCAGTCAAAGTCCTTGTTTTTAATTGCCTACTTTTAACATTTCTTTTTCTAGCTGATGCTTTTGGATAAGGTTTCAAAACTTCAGGTGAGAGTTATGAAGCAATGCTTGGTGACACTTTGTTCGAAAAACTTGTTTTATGATGTACTACAGGCATTTCAGGCTCCATGCCATCAACATGTGCTACAGTCATTTCAGGTTCCACAAGAACTGTGTTTACTACATTTGGAGCAGCACGATCTGTATCTGATGATGGTAAATATTCATCATCTTTAAAAATTTCTGGATTAAATGGCTCAATGCCAGCTACTTGAAATCCTCTCTGTATATTAGATGGTGAGAAAGCTTTTTATATGGTTCGCGAACTATTGTAACAATATCATAAATTGTCATAGGTCTTGGATTTGTGACCATCCAATTATCACACGCAGCATTGTAAAACCTTTTCAATGGTCCAAAGTTCTATCCAATGGTTGCAATTTATGGGTACAATGGGGAGGAAAACTTGGCATTGTAATTCCATGTTGAATTGCAAGATTCAAAGCTCTAACAGAAATATGACTTTTATGGCTGTCCAGATGTAACAAAACTGGAGATTCATGAGAACAGTTTGAATACCTCACAAAATGTTTATCCATTCTATAAAAATGTCTGAATTCATCCAATCAGAAGAATTTGCAAATCCCGCGCATCCAGGAGGACCTTCTTTTATCATGTAATCATGAAATTTGACCCTAGGAAAAACAAATAGTGGAGGAAGAGAGTTTCCAATTGCATTTGAAGCACAACATACAGTTACTAATGTTTCTCGTTCTGCAGATGTGATTCTTCCTACTTGTTTACTTCCTTTACCTGCTAACACTTTTACAGGCTTTTGTACTGTTGTTATACCAGTTTCATCAACATTATATATGCAATAAGGATCAAACTTATATCGATTTCTTACTGTTTTTAGATTTTGGAAAAATTCTCCTACAGTGTGTCGGTTAAAGGCAGTTGATCAAGCAAAGCTAGTTGCCTCAGGTGTTCGTAAAGACAACTCTGGTTGTCTTTTCATAAAACCTTGCAACCAAACAATGCCTGCAATTTTATTTAAGATCCATGATGAAGGGCAGATATCATTTTTTACAGTAAACTCGTATGCCAATAATCGTGTTGACTTTTCATATTGAAAGTTTATAGTTCATTTTTGATGCAAGTAGTAAATAACTTTACAAACTTTTAACATCTTCTACAGTAAAAACTTGTTTATTGTTGTAATTAGACTTAAAAGATTCATTTGGATTGAGTTTCTTTTTATTACAATATCTTTTTAAAGTCATTTGATTTATGCTAAACTTGCGAGCTACAACATTCACTGGTCTGCCCTCTAAAACTTCATTAACAGCTGCTTTCATTGAATCTCATGATACAATGAAAAATGAGTTGCTATATCTCATGATATAGCAACTCTGCCTGTTTTTGTTTTTTCTATACCTAACCATTTAAAGGTCTGAAAATTAAAAACAAAGTAAAATAAAATGATTGTTTAAAAAAAATATTTTATATTATAATATTATGTAAACTACTTGTAAAACTTATGTAAAACTAAAAACTAATGTTAATAATAATAGTTTTTAACACTATTACATTTTAAAAATGAAATTTTAAAAATTTATATAAAGATGTTTTATTCGTCATAAGTTTAAATGTATAAAATTTAAACAAAAAATTTAAATCTTACAATATAAGTTATATGGGGCACTTTGATCCTCCGATCTATAAGCCCCTCGTAGTCAACG